TTTTTTTATAATTTTTTTTTTAATTATTATTATGAGGGCCAGACTTGCTTGAATTTGACATTTTGTTTCTGCTTTACATTTAATTTTCCTCCTTTTGTAGCCCCTCCTCCCTGTTTGCGGGTGTCTACATCAGCAAGCTGGCTGTTGAGGAGACACCCGTGCGCATTCTTGCAGCTAGCTGTGTGCGTCCATAGATGGGCGGGGGGGCAGAAGAGACCCAGAAAGGCACTGGGCGATTTTTACATTCATGCAGAGAATGAAACATCAGTTTAAAGCTTTAAGAACACCCAACTGTTTATAGTTTCCCTGAGGTCTGTAAGGGAGAATGCTGAGTATTCACCAAGAGAAATGGTGTTGTTGGGTTACCAAAGATTTTCCATTCTACTGGAACAGTATCCAGACTCGTTGATGGATGGAATAGTCATGTGATGTCCATGCTAGAGCTGCAGCTAACGATTATTTTCAAAATCGATTAGTTGGCCGATTATTAAGTTCGATTAGTCGGTTAATCGGATAGAAAATAAAATACATTTTTAAAAATGGCTCCGGTGATGGGACTACTAGTTTGTATTGAGATTGCAGTCTATCACAGGAGCAAGCTTGGAGCGGTGGAAGTAAAAAAGAAAAAAAGAAAGTGTGGTGTGCAATATAGTGAAATGAAAAGTGTAAAATTATATAGCAATGAATGCAGAATTGCACCGGCTATAGAGGACTACAAAACCCAGCAATAGTACATTATACAGCGCAATGCAGAATACCGCCAGCTATAGAGGAATACAACAAATTCCAGCAATAGTACATTATAGCTGGTGGTATTCTGCATTGCGCTGTATAATGTACTATTGCTGGGTGTTGTAGTCCTCTAAAGCTGGTGGTATTCTGCATTGCGCTCTATAATGTACTATTGTTGGGTTTTGTAGTCCTCTATACAGAGCAATGCAGAATACCACCAGCTATATAGGAATACAACAAATCCCAGCAATACATTATACATACAGTGTATAATGTATTGCTGGGATTTGTAGCACTCTATAGCTGATGGCACATTGGTCTGTATAATATACAGCACAATGTACCATCAACTATAGAGGAATACAAATCGCACTATCCAAGCCACAGATTATAGAGCACCATGTGGGGAAAGTGCAGGCTTACCTGAGCGGTCTTCCAGCAACCTGTTTCTGAGATGGGGCCTGTCTATCGGCAGCTGTCATCCGCCCACACCTGCTCCTCCTTATTTCTTCTCCCTGCGTCCCTGTGCCAACAGTGGATTTGGGCGGGCAGTGAGCGTGAGGCAGGGAGGAGGTGTGGCGTGTGGAGCATGGATGCGGGCGGGTCTGAGGTGTGGCGCCCAGCGTGTGTGGAGCCGTGAACAGGGGCAACCAATCGGAAGCCGATTAATCGATGATTGAAATAGTTGACAACTTTTTCAATAATCGATTATGTCGATTAGTTGTTGCAGCCCTAGTCCATGCAAGGACTGGTTACCAGCAATTAGGTCTACAATAGCCAGTGATTGACTTGTGAGCATTTTAGAGCAGCGCTTCTCAAAACTGTCCTCTGGCCCCTTGTTTTACAGGTAACTTCCAACCAGCTATATTATGCTAAATATACATACCATCAATAATTTTGATGGCACCCATAAATATAGCCGGAGAAATGAATTGCCAGTTAAATCTGATACTTCTATAGCACTATGCTGTTCAGGTACACTTATTATAAATGTCATAGTAAGAGTAAAATGTTGATGTAGGCTAAGTATAAGAAGGCCGTCCTGAACAACCTAATATGCGGAGTATATGATGTAGCAATGATACTGTTTGAGGCGTGCTGATCGATGGTCTGAGGCGTGTACAAGTTTGTGGTAAAAGGCCTGTGACCCCTTCCAAGGAGGTTCCAAAATACTGTACTATAAAAGTGGGTGGGGAGGGAGCATGCTGATCAATGAACTATTCAATATATTGCGGCAGGCACCATGTTTATGAGGAGTCAGAGAGTGCAAATCATGAAATCGGGTACAGAGAAAGGAATGCCACTTCGAAATAAGAACAGCTCCATTACATCTTTACTAGTTCGCTGTTGAAATTGCTGGGTAACAAGTGACCTCATTATCAAATCTACATTTAGACCCCATTCACACTGAGTAACATCCAAAAAAGCGCTTTTTTCAGAGCGATTTTGAGCTGAGCGACATTAAGCTACAGTGCACATTTTGTCGCGCTAAGTAGCGCGACTTTTTGCAGGGACTTCATAGCTGCTACATTGGGCTGTAACCAGTCAAAAGCGGTCTTGAGGTGACCTCATTCCTTCCTTCTTAGGCCCCGTTCACATTGAGTAAATGTTTTAATAAAATGCCTATTGGTAGGCTTTTTATGACAGAAGACCGTGTGTAAGTCTCTACTGCCATAAAAGCTGCTTTCTACCATTTGGCTTTTTTTTCCCCTGCATGCATGTGTATCTCACTCACTGCACACACCCAGCATGCTGAGATGAAGTACTGTATTTTGCGGTCTATAGGACGCAGGGCTTCTGTGACAAATTCTGTGACAGAAAATCTGTCACAGAAGCTGCAGTTAGTGACCGCTGAGACAGGTGGCGATGTCTCGTCTCAGTAATCGCACAGAGCAGACGAAGAACGACGTTCTTCGTCTGCTCAAGGGGCTCTATGGTGAGCTCCTATGGGGGACCGTAGAGGAGCGGGAGACCCCGAAAACCATGGGGGGGCGGACACTATCGCCGCCGCTGCTTGATTTACTACAAGGGATCTAATTAGATCCCTTGTATTAAACGAGCAGCGGCTCCCACTGTACATTCAGCTCTGCTTGTCAGGAGCAGGGCTGAATGTGCAAAAAGAAACTACACGCCCGGCGCCAGAAACTGCATGTCCCGGGCGTCGGGCGATAGGTATTCGCTCCATAAGACGCAGGCACGTTTTTCCCCTCCTTTTGGGGGAAAAAAGTGCGTCTTATGGAGCAAGAAATACGGTAACTCGCATGTGCAGGAATTACATTATGCCGGCCAATTAGTAGGCCGAAGATGCCGAACCAGGAAAAAAAACAAACTGGAGAGGAAGGATTGCGGCGCTGAAGGGCATAAGTTTGGCAGGTGAGTCTGCTGTAATGTGCTAATATGCTGTGCATACTAACACATAATGGCTTCTAGCCCTTATATTTATTTTTTTTTGCTACCACTTTAAATTATTATTATTTTTTTTAAATAAAGATTTTATAGAAATGGCTCTCGTAAGATAGAAAATGTCACTCATAAGTGAAAACTTCCAAAAATTATAATAGTTATCAAGCTTCAATGCGTAATCCGAAAACCACTTCACTTTTTGATCACGGGAAAGTGATTTAATTTCTCATTGTTACAAAGTTGGCCATCATTGCCTTGCAGTTACAGCAGGTTCCACGGTGGTGTGTCTGGCATTGTTCTAAACTACAGATCTCATCTGGCATTTGCATTGTAGGTCACCGTACATTCTACTGACCTTTTTACATCTGTGCATTTTCAGCCCACCATTCTGGGAGGTGTGAACAGCTGGTGTATTGATGAAATTTGCGTGAAACTGGAGACCGGACTACTTGGCAGGGGGAAGCGGGTCTAGCAGGTTGTGCCGCTGGCTTGTACTTTCTAGGCAACTACAAAAAGTAATTAGCGGGTGCAACCCGCCAGTGACTTTTCTGGCAATTATTCAAGTGAAATATCATTTTTGCTAACCACAAACGAATGTGTTGATAGACATTTACTCATTTCTTTGTACCATATATAAGCAGACCAGTGGCCTGGCACGTCTAACCAGTGCTAACTGTGGGAAGATTAAATCAGTTGGGCAGTAGAACACCACGTACATTAATTCATGAAAGGCTCTGCCCTAGTTTATTTTCTTATCCACATGGTAAACACCTTCACTTGTCATGAGATACTTTCTCACATTGTGTGTAGTCTTTGTGTGTGTTTGTGTGTGTGTGTATAAGAATAACAATATTAATATAATAATAAGCTATATAATATATATTTACACACCCACGTCATTGTGTCAAAGCAGTGACTTATCCCTTGTTGCATTGAGGTTTCAGTCGGAACAGAGCCAGCTTGAAGGCAGGGCAGCTGCCAGGTGGAAGGAAGGACAGTGAGTCAGATGCTCCCCCATAATGGAAAGTACTGGGTATTTCTCTTCACTCCTTCTTCTCTTTCGCAGGAAAGGGAAGGTCGTCTGCTGTGGGAAGGGGAAGTTCCGTGAACCTGTTTCTTTTCCTTGCATGAGGAAAGCACGTTGTCACTTCAAAGTGTGTTTCCACCTCTGCAGTCAGATAAGAGAAAACCTCATTACACTTATATGCTCCATTCACACAGCATACCTAAAAATAACTTGTTTACAATCTTTCTTACCTTTTTTAGATGTTGGAGGCCTTTGTGCAGTATGCAGGCCATTTTAAACAGTTTGAGGGCCCGTTCAAACCAGCCAGTGCATTCATCTCACAGTCCTGTGGCAGAACAACACTGGACTGCTGACTCAAACCCTTCACGTGTTTCGGGATAGAAGGGGCTGTGGCATTAATTTCAATGGCACCGCAGGATTGCCCGCACCGGAACATGTGGTACCGCAATGCCCTGCATTTCAGTGTGGTGCGAGTGCAAAAAATCATGCAAGCACTTTTTTTCCAGTCATGCTGCACTGGAACACAGGGCATTGCAGTACCATGCGTTCCAGTGTGGGAGATCACATTGCGGGCAGGAAGTGTGTCTATGGTGCTATTGAATGCAGGGAGGGGTTGATTATGCAGGGAGGGGTTGATTATGCAGGGAGGGGTTGATTTTGTCTATGGTGCTATTGAATGCAGGGAGGGGTTGATTATGCAGGGAGGGGTTGATTATGCAGGGAGGGGTTGATTATGCAGGGAGGGGTTGATTATGCAGGGAGGGGTTGATTATGTAGTCCAGTGTGTTCTTGTCACGGGACTGTCAGATGCACCAGATGGTGTAAACAGCCCTGAAAGGGAGCCTGCCCCTATAAAAAGACTAGGGACGCACTGAGGGGAATTTAAAAAAACTGGAGCAGACAAAAGCTGGAGCAGTTGCCCATGGCAATCAATCAGCTTCTCAGTATGTTACTCTTTGAAAATGAAAGATGGAAGATGATTGGTTGCTCTGGACAACTGCTCCAGATTCTGTCTAATTCAGTTTTTGATAAATTCCCCTCGCTGAGTTTCCTCTCATTTACATACAATACTTCTAGAGTTTTAACCCTTTGTTAGCACAGACAGTGTTCAGATCTAGTTTACAACTAATGAAGAGATCTGGATGCACAGTATAGGCAAGACTAATTATGATAATCATTAACCCCATTCCGTTCCCCCTTAAAGGAGAACTATGAAGTGAGTTCTAGCCGACCTGTGACAATGAAACTGTCACAGGTCGGCTCAGTAGATCGGGAGGTGAGCGAACACATACCGGCGTTCGCTCGCCTCTCGATCCTGTCCTGGCTCTCTGCCGTGACAGGGGAGGGGCTAGATTCCCCCCGCTCCGATCCGCCAGCGCTCTCTGGCGGAAAGGTCGGGGGAGGGGGCCGGTACAGCTTGCTCTGCCTCTAGATAGGCAGAGCCAGCTGTCAATCCCGCAGCTGGGCGGATCCAGACATAATTGTCGCAATCCGCTTCAGGTGAGGCGTCTTGGTATACCGCGAACTACAGCTCGCGGTATACTGAGCCTAGGGTGACGGGAGGATGCTAGTTTGTGTCCTCCCGTTACCCTAAGGAGAACTATGGGGAAAAGATTTAACCCCATAGTTCTTTAACAAGCAGCAAGGTAGGATTTGTAAGGAAGAAAAAGCACTTAGTGATGCTTAGAGAATGTGAACATGCCGCAGATATAAAGTAGGTGCTAGACCAATTTTGTTGCAAAAGTAGAAATGCACTTTAAAGTCCAATTTGAGAATTGATCTAAAGCCACCGAGCCCGTGGAGTGAAGGGAAAAAAATAGAACAGTGTATGGCCAACTCTAATACCCATGGGCACAGGTATGCTGCTTATGACAGCACTGCACAGCTGGTTAGCTTAGTGCATGCACATTTCATTACTTAGATACTTAGCCAGTTGTTTTTTTTTTTTGTTTTTTTTTCCTTTTTAAGAGTAGGTACAGAAGGCATAAGAGCAGCATTATTGGGATGTTCAATGCACATGCCAAACTAGAACTGCACTGTACGTGTTGAAGATATCTTGTGCTTGATCATCTTAATGGGTTCAGAGATTTCAAGAGATCAGGGGTAGGCAACCTTGGCACTCAAGCTGTGGTGAAACTACAAGTCCCATGAGGCTTTGCAAGACTGACAGTCACAGGCATGACTCCTAGAGGCAGATGCATGATGGTATTTGCTGTTTCACCAGGCTGGAGTGCCCAAGTTGCCTACCCCTGCAATAGATGATGCGCATTAACACTCATCTGGGCCCATGATTCAAGCATACTGTAACGCTTTATCACTGCTCTTGTTCATTCGCTTTAGTAAATTGGGCCCAATATAATTGTTTTGTTCTGGGTTCTTTGGCCTTTAAAAAACTAATGTATTTAATTCCATTTGTGCACATTTGCTGGCACTTTAGTTGATGGCACTTTTTCCTCAGAAAGGCCCAGCATCTAAATCTGGAAAGAACTGCCGGCTATGATCATAAGACTTCATTAGCAGTGTGTTTGGTAATAATGAATGGTGTCTCCTCGGGCCTCTTCTCTGGGGAATGAGCGAGTCTCTCATCTAGGGCTTGGAATTGATGTTTACAGCAGGGTGCTCGCACAACAAGGGATCATCTGCTGAGTTCACACACCAATATTTACCTGTAATAATTTTGTAATGGTATAATAATTGCAGACAGTTCTTCGTATAATCCAGTTTTTTTAAAAGCATTGCGTCAGTGCAAATGCCCTGTAAGACCTCCAAGCAAACCTTCCCTGTATTCTTAGTGTTTCCTCGCTGATGGCTCATTGCAGTGACGTGCCAGACTAGCCTTGTTTGACCCCGGGGAGGTGACTAATAGTTGTGGGGCCCCTCCTTGGAAACCGGCTTGTTTCTAATTCACTTGTCATACCAGGTTTTTCCTGATTTTACATTGCTTGTATTTTTTCTGTGCCAGGTTTTTTTTTGTTTTAGAAATGCTGTTTCTACATATACATGAAAAAGACAACTTGATCAATATGCATTAATATTATAAAACCTACAACACTATGATTTGTACATAGGGGGCAGTCATATTTGCTGGGTGCATGGTTAGGCATTGCTTTTATTTTTGTATTTCTACACAATAGTTCTCCCTACTGCTCCTCAAAATGCAAGTCTAGGCGTTGGCTAATAACTTAGTTCAATGTCTGTTAAAGTGAACATTTACCCATATATTTAAAATAACAACAAACACACCTTTAGAAATGTTTAGTAATGACAATCTACAAACACACCTTTCTAGATAATTGCCGGCTCTGTATTCTTTGTATACCTTATTTCTGTTTTCCTTCCCCAGTTTTCTGACAGTGGTCATGTTAACTAAGGGCAGATTACTAGCTCTCCATTTACTTCCTAGAATTCTGGCACATGTGACTAGGACATGTGACCATGCACATCATCTCAGGGGAGGAAAATGCCTTTCCCTGAGATCTCATTAGATTACAGATGAGATTTCCCAGCAATGCTCTGCTGATGTAACCTTCCCAAGATGCAACACTTTGGCACTTACATAATTTGTGCCAGAACTGGGCCAGGAAGTAGATGAACTCTCTTTATAAGAAAATAAAAAACAAGTTTGTTTAACTAATGAATGTAAGACGATTTTAAATCCACATGCAGAGCTGAATGCTGGTGTGATTTTTAGTTAGTAAAAGGGGGTAAAGGTCTCGTATATAAACCCAAAAACTGAACTTTAATACAATCTTGTGAAAATGTACTTGACTATTTCAACATATTTGAACAGGCACACATCAGATCCTTATTTAAAACAGGGGTGGGCAGTTAATTTTCTCAAGGGGCCACATGAAAAACTGTGACTGTTATGGAGGGCCAAACCAATAGGCTGAACTTAAAGTAGTATTAAGGTCTGGGCGTTTTTTTACCTTAATGCATTCTCTGCATTAGGCTAAAAACGGCCCAGCATCTTTCTCCCCCCAGTCCCCCTCACACTTACCTGTCAACTACGCTCGTCCCCGCCGCCGGTCCCGAAGCGATCCTCCGTTCCCCGAACTTCCTGATTGCGCGGGAAGGATACCAATGGCAGAGGATCCGTAGGCTCCTTCTGCCATCAATCAAAGAGAGAAGCGGCGTGGCCTGCCCCAGGGCTGTTTGTGTCTATGGACGCACAGAGCCACTGCGGGCACGGGTGCCTCCATTAGCCGATGGGGGCACCCGGGCGGGGGAGATTGCTGCGGATACTCACTAGAAAACGAGGAATTAAAAACTTTTAAAGAAAAACGGCAACAGCCTCAAGCAAAGGTGGGTCTCCTTGTAGGAAATATCTAAAAAAAAAAGAGGCTTTAATATCACTTTAATTCTGTTCTATATTAGTTTAATCACATTATAAAAAGCAGTAAATTATATGGTTTTGATGATGTCCCCACTAGCGTGCCCCCTTACATTGTTTGTCCCCTTTTATATTATTGTTCCAGCTTACCTTAGCTTACTACTTTTTATTAGTAAGCCAGCGGCAGAAGTCGTGATGTGGAACAGGCTGTCGGAGAGTATGGAAGAAGATACTTTTCTGTCCTCCTGTAATGTTCGGATTGGGGGACACATTTGACTTTGCTGGTGGCTACGACTGCTGGCAGTCCTAACAAGCAATGAGTGCCGAGGAGCTGGACACCTGTCGTCATTGGTTGCTAGGACACCATCACTCCTAGCAACAGCTGACTGAAGAGGAAGGGGGGGGGGGGCCTGGCCTGCGCTGGGCTATAACGTGAGCACAGGTCAGTGATCGTGGTCTAAACAGAACTGCCTGTCCAGATTGTGGGCCAGACAGGTACAGTCAAATGGCCAGATGTGACTCGGGGGGCCATAAAATGCCCAGGTTTGATTTTAAATGGTGCCTCAGAAGTTGGTATTGCCCCCTTTTAGCCCAAATTACTTCTTGTAGGAGTTCTGTGTAACTGCCCACCGGTTTCTGACATTGACTTGGTGCACAATTCCTTCCTTTGCAAGATGTTTGTGGATGTCCTTGCATAAACAGCCCATTTCAAATCCCTTTACAACATTTCAAAGGCATTGATGTAAAGCTTTGCAATCCTCCATTTCATCTCTTTGAGCCATTCCTTGGTCAAAACAAGCTAAAGCCTGTGTGAACAAGGCCTAAGAGACCTGCAACTGAAGATTCTAAAGCAGGGGTAGGCATACTCTAGCCCTCCAGCTGTGGTGAACTACAAATACCATCATGCATCTATCTGTGATTTATGCCTGTGACTGTCAGTCTTGCAATGCCTAACAGGATTTGTAGTTGCACCTTAGCTGGTGGGCCGGAGTTTGCATACCACTGTTTTAAAGCATCCAACACACTTCTGGGTGTGTCAGACGGCAAAATCCGGCCATGTGCTTGGTTCCTTTTTATCGGCTCTTAAGTCACTTCGGTGTCCTTTTACGTGTATAGTGGCTGGTGGGAGAAACCACAGCAGACAGCTGAAAACTAGGTATCTAGCACATCTGAAAGTATATTGGATACTGTAGACTCTTCAGCCATGTAGCTCTTAAAGTGACATTAAAGGATTAAATGCCCCCCCCCCCCAATGTTAGTGTAAGGACTTACCTTAAATGATGCCTCTTGATCCGACCATCATCTTTACTGTAGTTTTCACCTGTCCCTCCAGCGCTGACTCCTCTGTGTTAGCTGGCACTTCCTGTCCCACGCAGTCTGTGCGGGTGTACGCTGCTCCATAGACTTACCTTTTTGTCTCTCCCTTATCTCCCTGCCGAAGATCTGAATTGCGCATTCGCGCCCGCCCCAGGATGCTTTGCAGGCCGGACGAGACTCTTCAGATGTTTGGACCGGAGCGCATGGCGAAGACGCAGGTAAGTTTTTTTTTTTTTTTAACCTGTTTTTAAAAAAAAAAACAATTGTTTAATGTTTTTGCATATATCTACTGCTTGCTAGCATTAGATATATGCAGAAAAAGCTGTGGGTTTAATAAGGCCTTTTTTACACATTTTTTATTTTTTTTAAATAATTGTATTTTGTTCTATTTTTTTTTTAATTTTTTTAAACATTTTTTTATTTTTTCATAATTTTGTATTTTTTTTACTGTTGGGGGGGTAGCACTTTTGTAGCTCCGTACGACGTACGTCCTTGGCAGCGAAAGGGTTAAAGAAAGCAAAGTTGGGACTCGCTGCCTGCCAGAGAGGTAAGTATTAAGAGATATTTTGCAGGGGCTGTTGTTTATGGAAATGTTTAACGTGTTTCAGAATAATTTAGAGCAGCATAAGGATCATTGTACCGTAGTCGGAAGAATGAAGAAAGCTGGAGTTAGAATATTAAGTTGTTTCTACTTAACCTCAAGTTTCACTGATATCTTGGTCAATTATTAGCTTAGTGTTTATCAGTAATCACATGAGCTTAGAACAAAAGTGAATAAAAAATTAGAAGACCATCAGACAGTCACAGTTGACAGCAGAATTCATGAAAAATAAGCAATTGGGAAAATGTCAGGAGCATGGCTGCTATGTCTTCCCATCTTTATAGCCTCAACAGGATTTCTTATTGGACTTCATTTCTGTTTATGACAGAAGCTGGCCCAAAGGCGAAGTCGTTTTATTGTGTTTGTACCACTAGCCATCCTGTATGGCTAACTGGGAAAGTCTTACGCCTGTGACACACTGCATGCGAAGCCGTGCAAAGCAAAAATGTGAGGCACGGACGTTCGCATGCAGTGTGTGCGCTGAGCACGGCCAGATGAAAGACTGCATCTTCAGCCAATCGGCTCGTGCGTAACAACTGAATGGGCTTCACATTCTGTTGCGCAGGTTTATACTTGTGAGCCGATTGGCTGAAGATGACATTTTTCATGTTGGCTTGCTCAGCTATGCGAGCTCTCGCAAGCTGGTGCGCCGAAGTGAAAATGACATGACACACTGCACACGAAGGTCCACGCAACACCGCTCCACGCTGCTTCACATGCAGTGTGTCACAGGCTTTACCATATCATACCAGCAATGAGTCACAGGCTGACATCTGTCCAAGTAGCTAACTTAAAAAATACAGTATTCCAATAATTGTGTGGTTAATACATATAATGATTGTATTCCGTGTATTTTTTAATTTACATGCATTTATTTTTTCTATTTTCTTCACATTTACATGCAAACTAAGCTGTCCAGCAAAATATACAGTGGTTGGGGAACACTATAGGGGGCATTGTTTCTTTCTCCAACAACTCTTGCTAGTACCTTACAGCTCTGAGCATGCACATGGTCCCTTGGGGGACTCAGTGACAATTTTTATGTTTTGATGATGACTTTTCTTTAGGGCCTTTTATTTAAATCCATCTATACCAGTCTTTTGCATTAAGATCACAGTTCCCACCCATCATCTTAATTTTGTAATTTGGCAGCAGGTAATGACTAGTACTGGTGAAAGGTATGACTAAAGTCACCATGACTTGGTTTTGTCTTTCTGTCTAACTTTTTTTTATGTAGAACTTTGTGTAGCACTGCTTTTTTTTTTTTCATCCAGCTGAGGAGACACTTGTGCATGCTCGCTCCCGGATGTGCCCGGACATAGTGTGCAGCAAACCACGTCCCTCATCTTCTCCCAACAGATTGGCTGAATGGCCAATTGCTCTTCTGCCCTCAGTTCCCCCGCGCAACGGGGAAAGTTCAGGGACTGACAACGACTTCGCAGACCTCACGGAGGTGACAAGCGAATGGAGGTAAGTGGGGGTTCAGGGCAACTTGGAATAGTGATGGTTATTTTTTACTTAAATGCAGAAAATGCATTGGGGTAAAAAATGCACAGCATTTAGTACCACTTTAAAACAGAAGTAAAGTGTAACAAAAAATGGACTCTGGAGCTTTTAGTGATAATTTTCTAGTATGCACACATTATGGCAGACTTACCTGCCTAACCGATCCCCTCCAGCGCTTCACTTCTCCCTCGCCGGCGCTTCCATCTTTGTCCTGGTCTTTTTCCTGGTTTCGAGTCCTCAGCCGCTTGATTGGCTTGGCACTGATGATGTAATTTCCGAGCATGCACGTGCAAGCTAAGTTATGTCAGCATGCCAGGTTTGTGCATAGAGCTGCGTATGCGTGGCTAAGTGCTGAAGAAAAAAAATTGCAGACTGGCAGGAAGAAGCTTTTAGGGCTCCATCTTCGGAGAATAATTATTTTCTTCATCTGGAGCAAAAACGCATACACATTAATTCCAATTGTGAAAATGAGGCTAGTCCACACCATTGCGTTCAGGTCCAGAGCTTTT